TTGAGTGCCAGGACATAAAGGAATTTTTGGTAACTAAAAAGCAAACACACTGGCCCGAGGAAGATTTGCAACTTCATAAAAACAATACTTCGGGTAACAAAAACAAATACAGATCCCCCATTACAGATTGGATCCAAATAAAATAAAAAGTGAAGTATACTCTAGGGGCGCTAGACAAAGTAACCTTATGCTAAAGCAGCCCTCACCAAGACTGGCAAACTCAGATTTGCACTTGGAAAGGGCCAGACTCAGAGGAGTGATAGGACTATTAATCGGTCACTGACATATGAGAAAACGTCTACATAACATGGATGTATATAACGATGAATCCCATTTGAAAATTATGTAATGAGGAGGAAGAAACAGCTACCCATCTTCGAATGCCAAGAAACGGTCCAATGTGGACATATCATACAGAAAAACCTAAGGAATGAAATTGTAGCAGCAACAGACAATGACCGAATACTTCGGAGAAGAAGGATTGAAACAATTGCACTGAACTAGCGAACTAGGAAGGTACGGTAAGCCACAAGGCTTCAATGCCTGGGGAGCACAAACCCCCGATATCCTCATCACCATCACCATCAATAACCCAGGGTATACAGTCACTCTAATAAACAACAAAACACATATCTACCATGTTCTCTTCCAATAAAACAAACCGACTCGCTGTTTATATGGAGCCAAAGATCATCATCCTTCAAGTGAATACATCACTACATTTCTCTAAATGACAGACATTTGAGGGCAGAGGCGGCTTTGGCTCAAAATAGGGGTCTGTTTATCAACTGTGTATAACCTATTTTTAACATGGCTAAGATGATCCTTCCGCTATTTAAATTCTTTGGGATGGCCATCTAGCCTCTCTGACGACCAGGTCGACTTACGCTGTGCACCTTTCTTTCATAATTTTTTATTGTTCGTTGAGCGTCAGAAAATGTGATAGCATTCGTAAAGCCTGGAGGGTGGGCCGTTGTCTTCCAGCCAGTGTCTGTGTACCCAAAGAACAACCACTATTTTTCCGAGACGCTCCAACTGTACATACCTTTTTAACAAAAGCACAACAGCAGCACACAGCTTCTCGATCTTAAAGCCGTTCGTGAAGTAAAAGGAAAAACCGTCGTATCTCAATTTAAATCCTAGGAACTTAGCGATGGAGAGGCATGGAGTTCAACATGATAGATCAATTATAAAATAATTTTAGTAGTTTCAGTTCAACAAGGGAAGGTTATGGACAAGGGTACTGATTTTTATTTTCAAAATTTTTTAAGTGATAGAAAGTCTGAAAATGTTATTACGTTTCCGAGTGTTCTTGCCGATAAGCTCTAGGAGCCGCGAAACAAACAAATTTTATGTAATTTAAGTAATTTTTTAAAATCTGTTTTTCTGCCAATGTTGTGAATGTGTGATTTATTTCAACACTATTATATATCAGTCAATTTGTTTGGATTAATATATTAATATGAAAGATTGTTTTCAAGGAGGTTAGATATAAAAAAAGTTGCAACAACCGAAAAGACGCTCTGAGTTAAGTAGGCCCAAAAAAACTTTTAACTAAAATTCAGATTCGTTTGAATCACCTTATAAAATTTAATTTATTTTAAATACATTTTCATTTGCAATAAACTGAGACAATTTTTGCAAATAAAAGATAAATATACGATTCCGTCTATGGAAAAAAACGTTTCAATGTAAGCCCATTATAAATTATAAAAATAAGAACCTCCAAACTTGTATTTTTATCTCAATTTTTCATGCTTTGACGTATCGGTTGGGTCATTTAAAAGTTATCACTGCTTATCAAGGCAAAAAATGACCTAAACGGTTGAGTTGCCTTTATAATTTAAAAAAAAAAAAGTTATCACTGTTTTTGTGATTTCCTTAAAAACTCGGAAGGCAAAAAATTTGGGCGCAAAATCATTATTTTTGAATTTTCCCAAAAATAATTATTTGCGTTTCGATCTACGTTACCTCTCATACCAAGTTTCAAAAAAGTAAAGAATATTCCTGGTATTAAAAAATAATAATTTTACAACCATATTTTTTATTTTCTGTTTTCTTCATGTTTTTCTAAATGTGTGACTTATATATTGTAAGATAAAGTACATAGGTAAAAAAATCGGCCATCAAAGATTTCGTTTCTTTAAGAAAACCATAAATTTAATTAATCAATTTTACGTATTATTTTCATTATTAATTGTATTTGAATAGTAACAAGATTGAATAATGAATATGACCAGTGAATTCCAATACGGCTACATATTATCTCTTGTATTATACTTCACAGGGTACTATTTAGGTTGAATTGTCTGAAAGGGTGATGAGACTCTTGTCAGTAGTTCATCACCAGTGAATGACATTAAATCAAAACAGCAAAGATAACTGGAGGCATCATCACTAATGATCAAACGGTTGACGAGAGCTTAGCAACAAACCGCTCTTCTATCCATGTATAACAAAGGACCAGTTGTTGAATATCCGTAAACAATTCTTAGACCCCATTCCCTATTTGAAAGATTTGTAAGGTTTGTGGTTGAATGTTGATTTGTTTTAAAAGAAAATAGCAAAATTGAAAAAATAGTTTCAATTATGTTTGTCCGTATGATGAATTTAGTGTCAATGTGGTTTTGTTCACCTAGACTGTTTCCAAGGCCTTTTCAGTAAATATTTCATTTTAAATTTGTGTGTGTGTAGGTAGATAGATACATAGAGAGAGAGAGAGAGAGAGAGAGAGAGAGAGAGAGAGAGAGAGTGAGAGTCAGAGAGAGAGAGAGAGAGAGAGAGGGGGAGAGAGAGAGAGAGAGAGAGTGAGAGAGAGAGAGAGAGAGAGAGAGAGAGCTCTGGTTGACATACAGGGAAACTTTATTAATGTAAATATTTTTGTTTAATTACATGATTTTATAGTTTACTATTTATCTAATTTTTTTGAGCACTAGGAAATTGTATGTATTAGCAATATTTACAAAGGCTGTGCAGTATTTACAAAGATGATCATGTGTATGATCTCTGTTGATTGTTCAGATGAACAGTATGTCCGTGACCGTTTTGTTAACATTTATCTTAGGAAAATTCTCAACTTATTTTGTTTATTTGTAAATAAATTGAATGAAATCCCAGTATTTTAAACTTGTTGGCAAATCCTATTGCTTTAGTAAAATTTAAATCAGGTGTTAAATTTCAGAAACAGTCTTCCAAGGCCTTTTCAGTAAATATTACATTTTAAATTTGTGTGTTGTGTGTGTAGGTAGGTAGATAGATACATAGAGAGACAGAGCGAAAGAGACAGACTGACAGACAAACAGACAGACCGACAAACAGACAGACAGAGAAATAGATAGAGAGGGAGAGGGACAGAGAGAGAGAGAGAGAGTGAGGGAGAGAGAGTGAGAGAGAGAGAGAGAGCGAAAGAGATAGATAGACAAACAGAGAGAGAGTGAGAGAGGGAGAGAGAATGCCATGTCAAAACAGGTAACTACATATTTCCAGTTATCATCAAAAATAATTTTATTATGCACAAACATGGGGAGTTGGTGTAAAATGGTGGACTCTTGAATAACAAACATATGCCAAGATCAGCCAAGATTAATTTGTTATTTTTGTTTATGCATTACGGATGTTCCACCGGTCTCTCTTTAGAATTTTAGAGGTAGAATCATGTTCCATTTCCTCGATCTCAGAGGTCTTAAATTATTGTTTGCTATTCATGGAATAAGAAAGGGGTTAAATAACAATAGAGAGAAAAAAAAGGGAGAGGGACAGAGAGAGAGAAAGAGCGAAAGAGATAGATAGACAGACAGACAGACTGACAGACAAACAGACAGACCGACAAACAGACAGACAGAGAGATAGATAGATAGAGACGGAGAGAGAGTGTGTGTGTTGGAGAAGATATTAGTTACGTAATATATATCACTTTCCAATATTATTTTTAAGTCCTTGTTCATCTGTTTTCTGTTTGTGTAGCATAAAAATTTCTCAAATAAAAAGTTGTTTTTAGGGAAATTTTTAATCATTTCTGTATATGTATGATATGTAGCAATATTTTCATTTTTTTAAACACAATTCAAATTTCCACAAATACACTTGTTTTTTATTAACTTTAGTATATATTACATATCATTTTCTTTATAAACAACACCTAACATTAAAAATACGCTGGAGCAAATTAAAAATAATTACTTCTCCCCTCACCAACATATCAATAAATTTGTTTGGTAAGATTTGCGTTGAGGAAAATAAAGTGAAAAATAAGAGCTTCCTATTTTCGTTCCTTTTTAGCGTAGCCCACAATTGAGTGCCAATAGAAAAACCTTCCTGTTTGCCGTCGATGTGTTCAGAGTGAAGAACTCTCTGACGACAAAGCATGTATTGCATGTTTGCCGAACCCTTACGGCCTTTCAGCAACCTTTTTGCAATCCTTCATCCTTTAGAGTAACTTTTATGTTGCTTCTAAGTTTATTTTGAATATAAACATTTTTAATATGCTTTAATTTATTGTTGACGTTTTATTTGTATTGTGTTAGTATAATACCAGAGGATATTGGCAGAAGGAAGTTATTGTTAATAACAAAATGAAGGGTAATTAAAATTCAGTCCAATAAAAAATCTCACATTAGAAATATTGATTGATTGTATATTTCAAAATAGTTGAGTACCTAGAATACTAGTTTATATAATTTGTTATTCTACTGTCAGCGTCATTAAATTATTCTAAAACATGTTCGTGCATTACTTCATTTTAAGTTTACGTCGGGACAAGCAATTTGAATTTGCTATCGCCGAGAACAATAGCTGTTAAACGAGGGGATCGACCGAACAGCGAAGCAGATTGTAACTTGGCATCGTTGATATATGGTAGTACATCCTCTCCCGACTTATTACCGTCATTGCCGGTTAAAGCCCAAAGGAACCGTTAAGCGTGCTCAGCACGAGGGGGTTGCCTCATGCAGCAAATCATGATTCGCTGAAACTCCATTAAATAATGAATTAAACTGCACTACTCTGCTGTCGACGGGTTGAGGTCGAAATGCTTGAAGTTTATCTCGACGATTTCCGTCGAGCCGGCAATAAAAGTGTAGAGGAGGCAATCGATGTCGTCCGGGTACGGTTTCGGATAATCCGGGCTGCTGAACCTTCCGTACTCTTTTCCATAGGTTGCACTGTACACTAGACACTCGCATCCTAAAACAAACAAAAAGAAACATCAGTAAGTAAACACTAAGCGACAAATTTCAAGTAAATTGTATACTGCACAATGCAAAATTAATTGTTTCATAATTACCAAATTTAAATATATTAAAAAAACAACCAAGGGTGAGGGAAAAAATCAATCAAATTCTTTATCCCGCTTTCGAAGAATAAATTCCATTTATCAGGATTATAAAACTATAAATAATCATTTAAAGGATTAACCAATATAAGCATATTCGCGGTTCGTACACGGGTTCGTAAAATGAAATTATTGAACACGATGATTGCAAACGGCACTGGATGCAATCATTATGCTGGTGAAATCATCAAGTTTTAATGACAATAAATATGATTATTGCTGTAATAAATCAATTTATTTTACATTTAATTTGCATTATTCATATTAATTCATGTCGATAGCTCAAGTGGTAAGAGCAGCGGCGTATTAAGCCGAAGGTCGTGGGTTCGAATCCCCTTCGTGATACTAACATTTTCATCTCAACTAAGACTTTAGATAAAAATAATAATTAATCGAAATTATTTATATTATTCACTGTAATACATTTATTTTTAATTAATGTTTAATTTATATAATTGGAACGGAGTACGATTTTTTTTACAGCCTAATATTATTGTTTATTCACCAGTGTTAAAACAAAAATAATCGTAGCGTAACATTAATAATGCAATGCATTTCAGGTTTTTAACGATCAGTGCTTGTAATCCGCTTAGGCTGGTTGGATTATTTTTCGTTTTATATATGAGAGTACTTAAAACTGAGTATTACGCGTATTTTAGACACAAAAAAGCTTTTTAACAGTATATAACGGTATTGTGTTATTATTGTTTTTCTCGTATTATCAACTCAGAACGAAAGGTTAACGGTAATTTAAAACTGGAAAAATTCAATATTTAACGATAACAGGAGAAAATATATTTCTGTTTAGTAAGCTTGTTAAAATATAATTTTTTTAACCAATACTTATCCGCAGAAATGATAGGACTATTAACAGATCACTGGCATCTCAGAATACATCTACGCAACATGGGCAATACAACGATGATCCCATCAGCAGATTTTGTAATGAGGAGGAGGAAACTGCCATCTATATGACCTTCGAATGCGAAGCAACAGCTCAATTTAACCGAACATACGAAGAAATCTAGGGAATGAAATTGTGCAGCCACAATCCATGACCGACACTTCTAAAAATAAAGATTGAGTCTATTGCACTGAAATAGGGAACTTGGAAGGTACAATAAGCCAGAAGGCTGCAGGGCCTGGGGAGGAGAAACCCAATTTCATAGTATCCTCATTACCATATAATACCAAATACCTTTAATATTCCTCTGAAAGGAATGCGGTTCTGACGGGGTTTTATCACGTAAAAATTGGCTTAAAGACGTTTGTCATTTCGTTGATTTTCTCAATCTGGAAAATATTCCTAAATGATTTATTCTAAGATTTGACATGTCCCAACAGAAGATAAGCAGCAATATTATCGCAATTGCCCACCATAACGTCTAACTCCGTCTATTAAGAAGACTCGAAACTACGGTAATTCGCGCCAATTGTTTCAAATCATAGAGAACGTAGGAAAATAGATTCATTAGATTTCATGGTTCGATTGACCAAATAACATCTTTCAATTAATTAATCTATATGTAAAGTTACAATTAGTTAGGGTTTTTAGTTGAGATAAAAAAGTCAATAGCACGAGCGGGATTCGAACCCACGATCTTCGGCTACATACGCCGCTGCTCTACCACTTGAGATATCGTGACCTCGATCCACTCGGACACCAACTTCCTATCTCAACTCCACCTTTTCAGTTTTCCCTCCTTTTTGCCATTTTTCAAATGTCGTGTAATCGGATTGGATTCTCGACGACAAATGAAATGGCCACGGAGAGCTTTAGTGAAGTATACTTCATTTTCAATCATTAAAATCACTAATTTCGTGGTCCACTTAACCAATTGATATATTACAATTAATTCAGGTTTTTAGTTGAGATAAAAAATGGCAAAAAGGAGGGGGAACTCAAAAGGTTGAGATAGGAAGTTGGTGTCCGAGTGGATCGAGGTCACGATAGCTCAAGTGGTAGAGCAGCGGCGTATCTAGCTGAAGATCGTGGGTTCGAATCCCGCTCGTGCCATTGACTTTTTTATCTCAACTAAAAACCTTAATTAATTGTAATATATTAATTCGTCAAGCGGACCACGAAATTAGTGAATTTATGTAGTGTTGGTTGAATAAAAAATGAAAAATGGCAAAAAGAGGGAAAATTCGAAAGGTGGGGTTGAGATGGGAAGTTAGTATCCGAGTGGATCGAGGTCTCGATAGCTCAAGTGGTAGAGCAGCGGCGTATCTAGCCGAAGATTGTGGGTTCGAATCCCCCTCGTGACACTGACTTTTTTATCTCAACCAATACTTTACATAAATATTAATTAATTAGGAAAATAATTTATTCGAAGGTAATGTTTAATAGGATAAGTTCCATTAATAAATTTTAAAATGACAGCCGAATAACCTTCAAACAAACCACGACTCGAATTTTTACGCAAAATCAGTATGATTTACGTTCCTGACGGCGTGTTCATTTAGATCCAAATAAAAGCTAGACACCTGTCGACAAAAATATAATAAAAAAATAGATGGCCTTGCAAAAAAAATTCCGGTCCCTGGTTTAGCGGAAGATTGCAACGGAGAGTTATCTCGTTGATATAACCAACATGTTCCAATATCGGCCTTTGTCTAATATAGCTCCCCTTCGCACATACCTTTTATTAGTGTTATTCAACCAACCTGTATGCTCCCTGAGAGGCGGAAATTGTTTGCCTAAAAACTTAATTGAAAATTCTTTTTATTATTAAGATTGGAAAATGAAAACATCCGCAATATCCCGCAACATATATATATATATATATATATATATATAATCTAACAGTAAAATATAGAATTTTAATTTTGTTTGGTAAAGGTTGTTAAACTAAAAATGTAGGAATGTTACTGGCCATCTTTTTCGACAGTTTTTAATACCGATTTAAGCAAGTATATCCAAAATAAGTGCCGAGATTATTTGATCATTTTGAGTTATACAATTAAAAAGAAAATTCGGACAATATTTTCATAGATAATAGTTGTGATAGTGAGTTTAAGAAAATAGACAAACCGAAGTAATTTTTTTTTATTACGTGTATATAACTGCAAGAAGTCATAGTATATTATTTATGTATATTAAGAATATATTTATGTATACGTAAGAAGGCGGAAAACTCACAGTAAAACATACCATTAAAATTATATGTATATCAGAAGAGAGTTACTAAAATTTAGTGACTTTTACAGGGCTGACCCTTCGTTTGTAAATTATGCTGAACGTTTTATTAACAAAAAATATGCGAAAAATTTCACATAATTTCAAGTTAAAACACATTTTGCATAATAAAAATTAATTTTTTTCTTGGACAATAATTAAAAAATAACACAAGAAGTTTATCAAAGTCTGTCAGCTTATGGGCCAATATTTATGTTGAAACATTTTTTTAAATTAATTGAAAATGTAATTAAGATGGTGTTCAAAATGTAATATCAACGTTTGTCTTGAATTTCAGACGAGAAAAAACGTAGAATTGTGGTATATTGCTGTGGTTTATTCTACGGGTAAAAATTTCTGATAAAAAAAGGTAAAGAATTCAATCGACCCTGTAAAAACCACCCACATAAATGTGTGGTGATTAGTGACCGTTAATCGATATTTATTTAGAAATTGTGAGATGCGGTCTGGTGTGATGTAGGTGTCAGAAAAACATTTTCTTTATCGTGCCAACGTTTCGATCTTTATTGAGATCATCTTCAGGGCTCAAAGTGTTTGCCTTCTGTGTCATTGTGCCCTTCTTGCGTGTCGTGTTGAGAGTGCGCGGACACGCAAGAATGGCACAATTACACATAAGACAAACACTTTGAGCCCTGAAGATGATCTTAGTAAAGATCGAAACGTTGGCACGATAAAGAAAATGTTTTTCTGAAACCTACATCACACCAGACCGCATCTCACGATTTCTAAATAAACACCCACATAAACTTCATTTTCCGGAAAAGGAAAGTACTTCTGATGTATGTATCTGGGATTTTTCAACGACAAACACTTGATGAGGAATCCCACACACAACTGAAATGTCAACAGGTTATGGCACGATACAGATCACTTTCTCGACCAATAATGCTTTATCTTAAACATTACAAACAAAATGGTGCTTTACAATACCATGTGTGGATGACTGGGAGTGTGGTGTTCAGCCAAACATTCAAATATACATCCCATCCAAACCGCCCAATCCGCCATTCTCAGAAAAATCCTTGAAATAAAACATGAAACAACCACACAAGTCTAAATCTTCCTTTGTTCTAAGAATTAATCCATTCCCATTACCGCAAATTTCATAAAACTTTCCCAACAACCATAAATCCTCATATCCAAAAACTCGCATCACGACGAATTCTTTGAAACCCCTTTCGCCGACTAGGGCTGTGCCCACGAGATCTGCTATCCAGTCACAGTAATAGTGATAATATCCATAAAATCGAGAAAAGTTGTTGCCTTATTAGAGAACAGCCAATGTTCAGTTATTCCATTCATGTTTTGATTATGTAAATAGCTAAATATCATTGTTACTTGTTACCTAACTAAAGGAAGTTGTAACGAATTGAAAAAAATAAAGTAGTAAAAAAATAGTATAAAATAAAAATAAAGAATATAGGTGTATAATAAATAAAATAATATAAAGAAAACTACTTCATGCGATAATTTTGAAACGAGTCCACTGATTTACAGGTTTTGAAAACGATTTGAACCTCGTGTAATGACTTGAATTTGGCTTCCGTAAGTAAATAAAAATTTGAGATATAAATTAAAACATTTGAAAAAGACTACTTTAAAAAATTCAATTTTTAAAACAAAATGTTATTTTACCTAGTTTACTAAAAGCGTCTTTTCTTTTTTGTATTTTTATACATCTAATATCATTTAATAAATTCATGCATATTATTTTTTAATATTACGCAAAAATCGAAATCACTCAATGCAAAACCAGTGACCCTTAAATAAATATATATCTAATTTGCTAATTGATAAATATATACCATTTTTTTATTCAAACCGCTTGGACACAAGTCTAATATTTTTCCACTTATTATCACAAATAAAAGTTTATTAAAATCCATCTATGACAGTAGCTTCACATTGTCAGTAGTGTACTAAAATGTTTATCATTTTTCCAAATGAATGCAGACAAGAATCTGTATAACATATGAACATATCTAGTTGCCCGGTTTTACAGTATTAAAGATTTCAGATATATTGATATAAGTTCCTACCTTCCATTATATTCAACTTTTTTTCCAAGTGGGTAGTCAGTTAAAAGTTTGAAACTTTCTATAAGGATCATTATTGATAAATTAGGTTCCTTGGATAAAAGAAGTCAATAGGCTCGTATGAATAAGTGAACCAAGTGGCATGCCCTTTGTAAAATACGTGCATTAAGCTTCTCTTTGAAAGTGTATTATGAGCCAGGTCCTTCTCTCGTCGAGAACATGCCTAAATTTTAAATGAGCGCCAAAGGTCAAAGATCAAATTATGGTTGGATTGAGCATTCACTTTTGAATAAGGGGGGAGTGATTAAATTAACATAAGCCCTTTCTGGAGAGCGAAATTCGTTTTACCTTTGTGTTTCTCGCATTCCTTTATTTAAATCACAATTTAAACCCCTTACGCAAAATTTGGCCAATCGAGCAGAAAATGTTTTCCAACATGTTTGGGCAAAACGTTTCGGAGCTGATCTCAAAAACCCCTGGAGAGATAAAGAATCAAATGATGGCAACTCGCACAATATACCTTCTATCTGATGATTGATGATGAGAGCTCATGATTTATACAAAAGCTTTCCCACGCCAGATGGGGTCACCTAAAAACTAGACCCTCGTCTAACTGTCCAGAACCGATTCCATGGTCCATGAAATATATCAATGATTATAAAGAAACCAATTTAAGTGTTCTTTAAATAATAAAATTTTAAAAGACTTATTGTCTAATTTACCTATCTATCTAAATCTAATAAATTGGCGTATGCCTTATTGTTTCTGCATTTAGATAGATATTTAAAACGAAACAACCAGATCGTGGCACTTGTGAAAATATATCAAATCGGAAAAACACGTAATTGCTTTAGTAACAAATGTTTTAATTTTCAATAAACTTTCATTTTATGGCCAGGTTAGCGATAGTTATCATTGAAAAGAGGATAAATGAGTCCCGAAATATATTCGATATATGCAAATGAGCTGTTTATTTTAGTTCCAAGTTTTAACAAACCTGGACACTGATTATGTGAACAACAATATTAAGAAAAAAATGGATACATCTACAATTTAATAATGAAAAAGAAACATCAAATATAATTATTTAAACATAATAATTGTTATATTTTTTGTTTATTCCCTATTTATTATGTTTGGTAATTAGTGACCGTTAGCCCATGTTAATTCGGAGATCGTAAGATGCGGTCTGGTGTGACGTAGGTTTTAGAAAAACATTTTCTTTATCGTGCGAAAGTTTCGATCTTTATTAAGATCATCTTCAGGACCTGGGATTTACAAACATTGTCTAAACATAACGCACATTAAATACATGTAGGATGTGGGAAAAAAGTGAATTTATACAATGAAAAAAATATTTTTTGATATTTTTTGGTGTTTTTTGATAATGTTTTCATTATGTATAATCTTAATATAATCTCTTTAATATAATATTAAAACGGGAGACATATTGTTGTAGCAGAATCAATTAAGGATTGTCTGAAAGATAATTAAAAATATTAATGGTGTCCAACTTTTATCGCCTCTCAGTTTATTTCATATTTAAAATACTTTCAAGTATCACTAAACTGCTTACATATTTTGACAAATTTCTTTAATTAATCATGCTTATTTTTTAAATAAATTTCAAAAATATTTATTACATTTTATTAGTCACATTCACTGTAAATATGTACTACAATTAATTCAGGTTTTTAGTTGAGATAAAAACCTTAATAAATTGAAATATATAATTGGTCTAGCGGACCACAAAATTAGTGAATTTAATCATTTCAAATTAAGTACACATCACTAAAGTTCTCCGTGTCCATTTCATTTGTCGTCGAGAATCCAATCCGATTACAGGACATTTGAAAAATGGCAAAAAGGAGGGAAAATTCAAAAGTTGGGGTTGAGATGGGAAGGTAGTGTACGAGTGGATCGAGGTCACGATAGCTCAAGTGGGAGAGCAGCGGCGTGCCGCCATAGCCGAAGATCGTGGGTTCGAATCCCGCTCGTGCCATTGACTTTTTATCTCAACTAAAAACCTTAACTATTATTAATATTTAAATAGTCAGTCTCTTATTTGTTGGTTTTTCTGTAAAGCTTAATTGTAATATATTAACTGGTCAAGCGGCCCACGAAATTAGTGAATTTGTTTCTAGATTATTATAGTTAATATTTGTAAAAAATTATTAATAGGAGAGACAACACGCAGACATTTGCTTTATCTTAAGAGAAGACGTAATTCCGACCAAAACGGAAAGTGCTTTAATATAAGTAAGGAATGTCAGAGACTGACGGCAAATTTCAAACAATTCCAAAACCAATAACAACATAATTAAATTCATGTTACACCAGTAGCCACTGCTGAGTAAATTTTACTCATAGAAATAGGCTTCGTTTCTATTTTCAACAAAATAACCGCATGTTTCCGAAGGGGAAAGATTTGTACCAAGTTGGAAATGAGGTGCGAAGTTAGATTGCCGATCAAGCCCGTTTTGTACTTAGACGCTTTGTCATAACTCGAGCCGTATTAGAAATATGGCTCGTTGGCAACTAATCTCCCTAGTTTAATAACTATCTCGACAATAAATGCGGCCGAAAGTGCCTCGATCGATTAATTAATACGCTGATTAGTTTACGTTTTATCTACCTCAGCCAATTTCAAACAGAACTGCAGAAATAATTAGAAAATAAATCTAAAATGTTAATACACTAATTGTTAAACGCTATAATTTTTAATTAATTCAATTAGCTTCATGGAGGGAAAATTGATTTTATTAATCAGAGTTAACTCACTTATAATATGTAGGATTGGATTAAAATGTTTCGAAAAAGTAGAACGAGGAAAATATGCACATACTGATGAAATCGAACTCTTTGACATCGAAGTTATTTTTTAATTGAATACGATATAGGATTCTAGACAAACCAATTAATAATTCTGATGTTTATAATACTCGAACATTGATGTTCTTGTCAAATCCATGTCATGACGTTCGCGTAATTTTTTTGTCAGGAAAAAATTGTTTTTTATCGGCAAATTGTCGATTTCAGACTGGAAGGCTTCAAAAAGTTATGTACACTTTTTTTTATTTAAATATTTTTATTAATATATATGAATGATAAATCTGACACAAGTATTCTGATTTATGTTTCATTATTTTTCCGATTATTATTATTATTATTACATTGGGCACTCTCAACACGACAGACAAGAATGACACATCTACACGGAAAACAAACACTTTGAGCCCTGAATATGACCTCAGAAGATCGAAATATTGGCACGACAAAAAAAATGTTTTTCTAAAACTTACGTCACACCAGACTGCATCTCACCATCTCCGAATAATCAACATTATTATTCTGATTATTATTATTATTATTATTATTATTATTATTACTCTGATTTATGTATGCATAACCCTAGAAGTTTACGCGTCTTGATTAATGCGATTAGTGTATTAGTAATTATGATGTTAATAGTCCATAGCTTCACATATAGACTAATAGTTAGATATACGGCAATCATCATTTAAAAATTAGTTAATTCAATTACCTGGATTAAGTGCATGATTCTTGAGGACAAGCATCAACACCACGAGCACCACTTCAGCAAAAAGCAAATCCTGAAAACAAAAACAGTAAAAGTAATTTTACGCTTTTTACATTTTATTTGTATACAATTAATAATTGTCCACAATTGTCCAGGTAATTCTCCGCTTTCTACTTTATAAGGCATTAATGCACAATACAAGGTGCATTTTTAGATGGCCCGGCTGGATTTCTTTCGAACCAATGACGGTATCAAAGAATATGTGTTTAATATGTTTTCTTCTAGTTTCAATTGTTTACTTTTTTTAGGGAAAATTATAGAGGGTACCTCAGGCCCAGTTCAATTTGACAATATCAAAGGCGACCCTACACATACTGACACATCATGTTAAAAGACTTTTTACGCTGAAAACAATGGTGCAATCTGATTTTTAATTGGTCAAAAAATGACAAAAATTTGAAAAAAGTATTTCGTTTTATTTGTCGTTATTAATTCCAATAATTTACTTCTTCACTAACGTAAACATTAATTGTTTACATTCTGTTAATGTTTGTCAAACACGCATTATGAGAGTGGTCAGACATTAGATCAAACTTTTTCTAGATGTGTGGTGTTTAGTGACCGTTACTCAATGATTATTCGGAGATCGTGAGATGGCGGGCTGGTGTGACGTAGGTTTTCGAAAAACATTGTCTTTATCGTGCCAACGTTTCGATCTTTATTGAGATCATCTTCAGGGCCTGGGATTTACAAACATTGCTTAAATTTAGCAAATGCATGTAGGATGTGAAAAATGAATTTGTACAATGCAAGAAATTATAGATTAAAAAAAATGAATTTATAAAATTCTAGAAAATTTTAGATTAAAAAAATGAATTTATACAATGCTAGAAAATTTTAGATTAAGAAAAAATTATAATTATAATTTTATATTTATATTATTTTTTATTTATAAATTTATTTTTATTTTCTTGATCTAAAATTTTCTAGCATTGTACATTTTTTTTAATCTAAGATTTTATCGCATTGTATAAATTCATTTTATTATTTTTTTAATCAAAAATTTCTAGCATTGTATAAGTTCTTTTTCCATATTCTACATGTATCTTTAAAATTTAAACATCGTTTATAAATCCCTGGTCCTGAAGATGATCTCAATAAAGATCGAAACGTTGGGACGATAAAGAAAATGTTTTTCTAAAACCTACTTCACATCAGACCAAATCTCACGATCTCCAAATAATCTTTTTTCTAAATGTTAATGAAATTAAGTGAGACTTTTCTTGACAGAATAATCTAACAGATCTGGTACTGAATTACTATCTGTTGGCCATTATATTGGCTTACCTGATGAATGGTTGCAATCATTATGTCGATTGCCTTTCTTAATTCTTTCCCTTTTTTAGAAGTGAATCTCAGTCAACATGTTTTGCATTTAATTCCCCAACTACAATGTATCACTTTCCTAGATTGGTTAGAAATTTTGTGTAGTTATCAGATTTAAAGTTGTGTTTAAATTTTGCCAAATTTTTAATTTTTGCTTGAGTGATTCCATATAAATCATCGTTAGCTGAACCTATTTATTTAGAACGCAAAAATTATATGAAAAAATTTCTCATTTGTAGGCCTTTTATAAAGGTGGTTTAATAAATTTTAAATTTATAGTGTACATACTCCTAGAAAATATTTTCGTTTTATTATTCAGAATTGAAATTCTTGAAAATGGCACAGGATGAAGATTTGAATTTTTACTCTTTTATAAAAAGCCTATAAATAAGATTAATAAAATTGTCAAAACAAAATTGAAATGAAGAATAACAATTGTTTTTATTTTACGTAAAATTTGTTTCAAACAACGAATATCTACTTTATTTGCAGCTTAAAAAAATATTGTAGCCTACATTACTACGTTGCTCGTCGCTACCTTAAAATTTTATCTGGCAGATATCCCACATCATAGGTATAGTCAGTATAAGTCAGTATAATCCTGTATATTTCCGCCATATCTCGTTATTATTTCTTATTTAATAGCTTTTGTAATAGAGAACAACCAAAAATTTATGATAAAACTGTCGCGATCAATAGACACTTCAAGTGTAGAAAACATCTGACAACAAGTGTACTACCCCTGATGTTAATAAACAAGGAGAAACTACAGCAGAATTACCAACTCCCAGGCTGGTTTACGGTTCATTCGAGATTCCCATCCTTCTTTCGTGGGTGAGTCTAATGTCACGGGTATTCCCTGCCTTTATTATGTAAATTATCCTTGATCAAAGTAAAGAATTTTGGGTTTATTTTTGCAATGAGTTGGTTTTATTTTCTTCTTTTTTAATAAAATAATGTTTAAGTTACAATCTTATTATTCAATGTGTGGTGATTAGTGACCGTTAGTCAATGATTATTTGAAGATATATATATTTATTTATATTTATATATATTTCACATCCTACGTGTATTTGTAAAATTTAAACAATGTTTATAAATACCATGCTCTGAGGATGATCTCAATAAGAATCGAAACGTTGGCCCGATAAAGACAATGTTTTTCTAAAACCTGCGTCACACCAGACCACATCTCACGATCTCCGAATAATCTTATTATTCAATACTAAAGAAAGGGCCATTTTGAGTTTGGTTTTTCTTTTGGTCCAGGGTAACTCAATAAATTAATTTATGAGGATGCTCGCTGGGTGGTCACAGCATAATAAAAACCTATCAAGGATGATGACAATTAGATAAAAATATTCATGTTTTTTCATTTCATTGTACTTAAAACCAAAGGGTTTGTTTTTTTGAATGATGTTCTTGTTGGTTAGCTCTTTAAATTAAGTTTTGATAAAATGGATATATTTCTTGAAAGAGACGAAGGAACGCGTCTTTCATTTTAATTGCCAACTTTCCTGATCATGTTTTAAACTCACATTACTTTAGATTGAATAATGATTTATACAGAATTGTTGTTAAATATCGTTGTTTTAAACGGAAAATTTCTATCTTTATAGTAAAATTCTTTGCCTAAATCGGTTTGCAAATATGAACACAAGATTTTTTTGAACGGGCCGCTTATTTCTTTGCCCGATTTCCTTTTCACTTATTTTGCCCAAATATATTTCGAAAAACAATCAATCACGAACAGTATATATTTGAAACCTTTATTTTCTTTACAAAAAGATATCTTATCTTTCAGGTCCAGTTGCAATAAATCGTTGGCTCCCTTAAATATTATTTACGCTTTTTGAAATTTTTTCTCGCGGGTCTATGAAGTTCTTATACGATTTGCTGTTTGGATTCGTGGAAAAAATGGACTTTCTTGTGAATCATACCAATATTTCTGATGGAGAACGAATTGGAAGTCACGATAGCTCAAGTTGTAGAGCAGCGGCGTATTTAGCCGAGGGTCGTGGGTTCGAATCCCGCTCGTGACACTGACTTTTTGTCCTAAACAATACCTTACATAGGGATTGATTAATTGAAAAATGTTATTTGGTCAATCCGACCACTAACTGTAATGGATTTAATAAGTAAAATCGTAAAATTGAAAGCTGATAATTAATTATATCGGAGATAATTTTATGTTAACGTTTTTGGAAATCAATTTTTTTGAGGTTTTTTTACAAAAGAAGTAAACGGCTGGGAAAAAATTCCTATTCTTTTTTCTCAAGTTTTCAGATTCCATCGATAAATCGTAACTAAGAAGCTGCCCCTGTTGTTTATTACAGTACAGGTTTTGTGCCAAGTAGGTCACGCTTTCCAATGCAACGACGTTGGACGGATGAACAATTGCCCACTTAACGTAGCTAAGGGGGAAAAAATCCCCAACAGACGAGTCAATTTCAAAAATTGCAATGTCAAAAGAACGAATTCACCGGGGTTGGGTAGCAGACATTTCAATTGGCAGGCAGGGATGAAAATTAGCATTCGACAAACGTCCAAATTACGCATTCATCGCTGACACTTAATTTATGCCGACGAGTTCATGAATCACGGCGACCCGGGGTTACACATTTAACGGAATTTTTGAAGTTGTCGGGCACCGCTGGAAAAATAGAGACGACAAATCTCTGTGACAAACAAAAGGAAAAACTGTTTAAAATTTTCAAAACTAAACAGTCAGTCGTATGGATTTTTTTTCGTTTTACGCTTTACATTTAAAGCTGCAACATAAAACAAAAATGGAATTACACACAATTTTTCAAAACTTGAAGAAGTTGGACTCAGTTGAAGGCGTCGTTCGAAACCATGCTGAATGTTTATATTCTCCGGCAATACCACATTTTTTTAACAAAAATTAAAATTTTAACACATTTTTTCCAAATCTAAACTATTCTATATTAAAAAAAAAACTAAATTTCTTTGTACACATTACATATGTTTTTGTGAGTGAATGTAAGTGTATGGCCGGTAGTGTGTGTGGTGTGCTAGTAAGCAAGGGTGAGGGAGAGAAAGAGATGGTAAGAGCGTAATGAAAACCCAAGAATAAAAGAACCAGGAAAGAAAAAAACTACTCGATAAAGAAAATAATGAAATCGTATTGCATCAATCTGTGTGTGTGTGTGTGTGTACGTATATGTGTGTGTGTTTGTGTGTGTGTGTGTGTGTGTGTGTGTGTGTGTACGTGTGTGTGTGTGTGTTTGTGTGTGTGTGTGTGTACGTGTGTGTACGTGTGTGTGTGTGTACGTGTGTGTGTACGTGTGTGTGTACGTGTGTGTGTGTGTGTGTGTGTGTGTGTGTGTGTGTGTGTGTGTGTTTGTGTACGAAGAAAATTGTGNGTGTGTGTGTGTGTGTGTGTGTGTGTGTGTGTGTGTAGATGTAGATATAATGTTTCAGGGTATGGTATACTGCGCCCTTTAAGAGCTATTGTATCCCCTGTGCTCTGCCTAAAGCACATCGGTGAGTCCTATTTCATCAAGAAACTTGATTAATAGGCCCGGTTTCAGTGGTTGTAGTTCTTCTATGATCACATTGTACATCCCAAAACACTTCCTCCTGCGGGCTAATGTAGCTCCGCAGTTTGTTAGTTAGTGTGTTGGTGTCTCTTCTGCTTCCTTGCAGCATCTACATGTGCCATCT